TTCTAAAATCAGAGGTGAATGTTCAATGAATCTGACAGGCCAGCAAGAAGACCAAAGGTATCCACAGATATAAATGCAAAAATTATTGACATTTAACAGTGACCAGCTTTAAAAATATATATTACATCAAAAACTAATTCAAATAAGAAAGACTAGTTCCTAGAAATTCCGAGAAAAGGCTGAAGTATTTGCTGAATTATTACACACTTGATTATTGTGCCATTTCTTATTAAATATATGGTGGTTAGGTTTGAGAGAACTTAAGAGCTTAGACTCCTAAGAAGAGCTGTGATCTTTGAATATAAATAAGACATTATGGTCAAGAATCGCCTTCTTTTTTCTACGGATTCATTTTATGGAGCTATAATGGAATCACAAGAGGTAGGGGACCTGAGCTTTGGGCACACGCTAAGAGATGGGTATATTTAGACCTGAAGATGAAGGAAAGGGTGTCTGATGTCAGATATTAGACAATTAAGAAGGAATATTCCATTCCACTCATGCTTATAATTCCAGCAAATACTCTTCACTTTACTGACTATGCCAATAGATGAAAACCTTTCCTTTCTTTGTGTGTGGGGTGGGGGTGGCTATGCTATTTGAAAGAAGGCAGTTCACTGACACAAGTTAAAAATGAAGAACAGAAAAACAAACACATTTGCCCCTAATGGTGACAACTTTCTAAATTTAGACAAATCTATTTTTTGGCATTCGCAGTGTGTTAAGTGGTTTAGATAAGGAAGATGTAATTACTACTTGTGCTTTTTTTTTTTAACGGCACAGCCTAGTACATTTCCAAATGAAAGTAATTTACCAATGAAGAAGCAGCTGACTATCGAATATCAGCAATAAGGTGGAAGCTGGTGACGAAAGGGGAGGGTGCTGTGAGTGACATGAGGTGAACCTGAGATGCAGTCAGCTAGGGGTGATGTGGGATGACAGTCATTTGGGCTCCTATCATATATTCCTGCTGTTCGGGAAGCAGGGAACTGTTACAAAACTGTTCCTTCTGTATGTCTTTCATGAAACCAATCAGTAGCTTACCTAACAGGTCAATGCTGAGGATCAAGAAATAATGGGCCAGAAAGGATGATAGGTCAGTAACCACTATGGTAAGCCAGAGACTGAAAGTTAGTTAGGACAACAGGTATGGGATACCAAAGTGGCCTGAACTTCACGATCCTCAGGGCTATAAATAGAATCTGTGCCTGGATTTAACAACAGATACAAGTCAAGGTTTCAGAGGGTAAAAGTATGAATAATAATGAGAGATAGTGAATGGTCTGCTATCATTTTTTTCAGTGTTCTGTACTAATTCAGCAGCTGTCCAGCTACCCCAAGATCCATCTGCAAGAGGCTTGGTGGCCAAACGTTAATTCAAAACATCTGACTTTGCAAAAATCACCTAAGCAGGAGTGTGCAAAAGTGCTCTACAGAACTGACTTTACAAAGCTGCTTCATGGGCAAAAGCCAAGAAAGGTTTTAAGTATAAAAATACTGTTCTACTTAATCCTGCTCCATTTATTGTGTTTTAAATAAAGTCCATTTTTTTATATTTTAATATAGGTTTTAAAAACCTAAACGCTTATTGAAGTCTATGATCCTTCTCTACAAATGCTAAAGTTGCCTCCTTCCTCTCTGGCAGGGAAGATGATCTGGAGGAGGATGGGTCAGTCCCATTTACTCCTTTTATTTTCATTACATATAGTCACAAACCTCCAGTTTATCACATCACTCTGCATTTTAAAAACATGTTTCAGTTTTAATTTTAAAAATCAACAAACACTAAGCAAGCCAAAGTAGATAATTTTATTTCTTAATTTACCATGGACAGGATATATGTTAATGAAAGAAAGTCTAGGTTAAAAAAAGACAAAAAAAGTTGTCATCTTGTTACTCTCACACAATGCCTTGATTTGATGCCGTCTAGCATTCCCCATCCTGCGGCTTGTTAGTGGCATTTATACTCTGTGCAATGCTCTCACACCTCTAGACATTGTGGAAGCAGTTTAGCAGCTCAGCATAATGCTGGAGGAACTCAAGCACTCTGGATCTGAACATCACCACGGAACCACGACAATAAAAGAATTAAGAGCATCCCACAGGGAAAGACAAGTGTTGCCATTGGCCTTCAATGTCAATTAGTTCTATGATTCTCTTAATCAAAGTCACATCTGAGATAGACTAATAGATCAGAAGTTTGCTTCCTAACCTGAATCACTTCATAGCTCTAAGTGCCTAATTAAAGAAAACGGAGAAAGCACACATTGGAGACATAACAGCACACCTGAAAGCTCTAGAAAAAAAAAGAAGCATACTCACCCAGAAGGAGTAGAAGACTGGAAATAATCAAACTGAGGGCTGAAATCAACAAAATAGAAACACAGAAAACAATCCAAAGAATCAATGAAACAAAAAGCTGGTTCTTGGAGAAAATCAACAAGATTGACAAACCCCTATCCAAACTAATCATACGGCAGAGAGAGAACATGCAAATTAATAAGATTAGAAATGAAAAGGGGGACATAACCACAGACACAGAGGAAATTCAGAGAGTCATTAGATCTTACTACAAAAGCCTGTATGCCACAAAATTGGAAAATGGGGAAGAAATGGACACTTTTTTAGATAAATACAATTTACCAAAATTAAGTCAAGACAGGTGAGCAGTTTAAATAGACCTGTAAGTCGCGAGGAAATAGAAGCTGTCATTAGAAACCTCCCTACCAAAAAAAGCCCTGGCCCAGATGGTTTCAATGCAAAATTCTACCAGAACTTCCAAGAAGAGCTAATACCTATACTCCTTAATGTATTTCACAATATAGAAACAGAAGAGTCATTGCCGAATTCTTTTTATGAAGCTACAGTTACCCTGATACCAAAACCACACAAAGACACAACCAAGAAAGAGAATTACAGGCCAATCTCACTCATGAACATCAACGCAAAAATTCTCAATAAAATACTGGCAAACCGAATCCAAAAACACATTAGAAAATGTATCCATTATGATTAAGTAGGCTTCATCCCAGAGATGCAGGGCTGGTTCAACATAGGCAAATCTATCAATGTAACTCATCATATAAATAAACTGAAGGAAAAAGTAGACATATTTTAAAATGAGCTACCTAGTTGAGTAGAAGGACAAAATAAAATAAGGTATAAAGTAAAATAAAATTACTTCATTTAGACATTTATTAACAAGCTTTAATCTAGAGGAGAATTAGATACATAGTTACAGCTATCTGAAGAATTTCTGCAAACTCAGCAAACTCATGAACCTGCTTCCTTCCTGGGCAGTACGGGAGAGAAGAATCATTCAAGGTTAAATGTTAAGGAAGGTCTATGTATCGCCCACACTGGAGAGCACCCTTTAAAGAATTGGAAAGTTCTAGGAATGTACAAGGTGAGTCTAGAATATCTCTCCTCAGAAGGTATGCGAGAGCTCACAAATCAATGAAGTCAAGCCCAAGACACAGATGCCACCTTGAAGAAGCCCACACTGGCCAAATCTGAGACAATATGAACATTCAAAATAAATAAAGGCAAAGCAGAGGAAATATTAAATAGAGTGACTAACTATGCAACCCTGATACTAAAAATTCAACTGACAAATGCAGAAGAAATGATAAAGAACTCTTTAGCAACCAACAGATTAATAATAATTCATCAAAATTTTAAAGACAGTTTCTGAAACAGTAAATCAACATGTGACAAGGGAAAGAATATTAATAACCAAAGTGCTTTCCCAAAGCGTATCTAAAGCCAAAGTCAAAGGAAGTAACTACACAGGGAAAAAAGCTTAGCCAGTTGCATGTTTACCAAGGTAACAAAGGGAGTGCCATAAGCATTGTTTGATGGGAGAGGAGGAAAATGCAGCATTATCAGAAATGCATCATATTGGAGGTGTAAGTCACTCAGTGTCACAGCCCTTGCCTAGTCTGTACAAGTCTGACCCAGCACTTCCTGCAAACAAACAAAAGTCTAACTACAAACAGCACCAGAGAAATACCACAGAGGGAGTATCTACAATGCCTCTGGCACACTCTGTTCAATGTCATAAAGTCCAAGAAAGACCAAGGACCTGCTCTAGAATCAAGAAACTAGAGATGTGGCCAACACGCCCATGCACAATGCTGGATCCATGAGAAGCAGACGGCCAAACTCAAATAAACCAAATCTGAGGATGACCATTAGTTTCCTAGTTGTATGGCTGCACTATAGGTGTATGGAGAATCTCACTGGTGGAGGAAATATACACAAAGGCACTCAAAGATTGGAATCCGTCACACTCGGAATCCTATCCTTCCCCTAGAGGACATGTAATCCCATCAGCTTGGAACAGTTGGAACCGTTAGGATGAGGAGTCTCCTGGAAGGTCTTCAGAGAGGTATGGTGTGCCTCCCTCTTTTCTGTTTTCAGGTCATGAGATTTAATTCACCACAGGCTCAAAGCCAAAGGACTAACACTGACTGGAACGACCTTTTCTCTTTATAATCTTATCAATTTAGCTACAGAGAAAAAGAGCACACTAATTAACATGCACTGGTTACTTTCACATGGCTCTGTGATTTCAAAGTTCTGCATCTATTCTTTTTTTTTTAGAATACTGAAGTTGTTTCCAACAGAAAAGGCATGCTACCCATCCTGTGTATATAACTGTAACCACTCGTAAGAAGGACATAAACACTGAAAGTAAAAGTCTTAAAGGAAATCATTATTATTAAATTTTCTTGTAAGAGGTACTTTTTAACTTAAAATCATCTAAGAGCTAATTCTCACAACCACAAATATTCATAAATATGTCATGTTTAATTCAACAAGAAAGTGGGTATTATGAAGCAGCCCCCCAACAAGACAAAGAGAAAACATAAGGAGGCAAATAGTCTTTAAAAAGTCTTTAACCTCTGTGTCCCTTTATCAGCAAGATGCGTATGTTCCCCAAGGCCAGCTTGTTTTCTCAATAGATACAGAGAACTCTGAAAAGCAAAACCAGGTACCTTGATTTAGCTGTGTGGCATCCACAATCTGAACACCATTCACGGAGCATTGGGACCCACTTAGGGGTATCAGAGTCACCGTTCCCCCGATATTCTCAAAGATACAGTGTTCACTCTCCAAGTCAAGACCATGAAGGACTAGGAGAGAAAAACAAAGGAGAAAGTTGGTCCCCACTCGAGTGTCTGCTATGATGACTCCCAACTATTTATCTCTTTTCCATTTTGAATGTCTGTTACTTTCCACAAAAGCGCTGTGGACAATACCATTGAGTGAGTCTGCAATGTTAAGGGGCAGAGACAGAGGCATCCATGATGGTTACCTCAAAGGGTCTGGCTAGCCACCCTGTGACAGTGAGCTCTGGCATGGCAGCTTACTCTTCCTAACAAGAAGACACAGGTGAGCAGCTTGTTTAACTGAGAATCTCTGTTCAATGCAGGCAAATTTCCGCCAGCCATAGGGAGACATAAGAATGAAAGCCTCTATGGGTCTACGAGCCATGAGCACCTCTGCACTTTCAAGTAATGCCTCCTGTAAGTACAGAGTAGAGGCATGGCACAGCATGGACCTCAGGAGGTCTTAGGAACTTCCAGAGGCTTCTCTGAGATGCCCAGTGCCACAGCCTGTGCTGATTCTGAGACCCCTGAGAGCAGCCAGTTGCTGACAGTTACCTGATTATCTATGAACATCCCAGCAACAGCAGATACGAGCACCTCTCCGTGTATCAGGAGTAGCTCCCACTTTCTCTGCAGAACTGCACCACTGAATGTCTCTGGTCAGAGAACACTGACCTTACTAACTGTCATTGTTTACGGCTGCTCCCAAGACCAAATACATAATTAAAACAAGGGATCTGATATAAAAGCATTCTCAGAAGTACTTGAGTCTGGGGGCTTCTGGAGTGGTTTTCCAGCTCTCCCCGTTTCTAGTAAATATTGAGTGTACAGAGAAACATGCAACAAGTGATTCATTAGCATATACTTGATAGAAAAGAAAAGTCCTCACCAGCAACTCTAAATGTGTCTGGAAATAAATGTAATGTCCCCCCAATCACCATTGTGCCCCTCTACACATACACTGACTGTTATCACATTGTCCACCACAGAGTGCCAAAGGGATGCTTAGAACACTGTGTAGGCTGTCATCTTTCCAGGCGCAAGAGCTAGCTGGCTGTATGCCTTTTGAAGACTATAGGACACCAGAAAGTCATGCCTTCTGTGTGGGCCTGGTCTCATACTTGGTCATCATCTCTGTGTAGAGAACTGTCTATATCCTGCCTTTTAAAAGGCCTGGGATCCTTTATCCATGTCTGCTGGCTTATTTCCATAAATCATGTGACAAGTATAGAGTGGCAGGTGTACTGTGACTTAAATAACTATACTAGTAGGATAAAGAATGTACATGGGGTGGCAGAAAAAAGTCATACTGTTAATGTGTTCACTGAATTAACTGTGCTTGTTATTTAATTGAGATGTGGTCAAAATTGTAGTTATACATATACCAAGCAATGCGTCAACATTTTCTCTTATAACTACTTCAATGCCAATTAAAAAAAAAGAAGGTTGCTCATTAAATATGCTTTTTAAAACTACTGAGAGATCACTGATAGAGTCTCACCAATATCTTGCTCTGTTGAAGCATCTTCTCGGCCAACGTAAGTCTGCCCTTCCTGAGAAGAAAATTCAATAATATTCATTAGTGAGTGCAGAGAAACAGCCTGCTTCTCTACATCTCATTCCATCTTGATGCATTTCACCCGCCAGGCGACAGACTGAGCAGGGTCTGGGGCATGCAACAGCCTCAGTGAGCTCAGGGGACCGAACACTGCAGTGACATCCTGTGTGATCTGCTAAGTACCAGCACCACTGCAAAGGCCAAGTGCTCAAAAAGGCCAAGCTCTTGCAGTCTGTTTGGCCCATTAATTTTAAGGATGCTTCAGTTCCTTTCTACAGAGTTCCTCTTTCAGTGGACAAGGGTTGCTTTGTGTCCAAAGATACACGATATGAGAGGCCACAAAACTCAAGACAGAATAACCTCATTTTGAGTCAAAGATGACAGTGAATATATTAAAATCAAGGTCACAGAGACACTCCTTGAGAACTCACAAGGAGCTCTGCTCTCTAGAACAGTGGGAACTGCTCAGAACCAAGCCTGACCATCTAAGAAAAAGGGACCATTTTATAATTACCAGGAGGAACCAGCAATTGTGCACAAAACAAATTCTAGTTCTGTAGCCTTGCTCCTTCCTCGGATTTTTTCTGCCTTATTCCCTCCCTTATCCACGTTTTTCCCTGATTCCACAGAAGAGAAGCCAAAATGGATGACTCATCATTTAACTTCAGAACTCCATAAATACAGGAACTTCAAATACCACTGAATCCCAATGAACTGTAGAAAATCCCCAAAGGCTCAAGGATTTGTTGTATATTCTTTAATTTAATAGTTGTATTCATGGCCATAAAGTATTATAATAAACCTTGCTAGAGTCTAAAGGGAAATCTGGAAACAAAATTAGAATGTTCCACTTAAACAGTTTCTACCTTCAAGTGATACAAGATGATCCCAGTACTCAGAAGGTCATCATCAATGCCAATCAAGTGAGGCAGCTCGGAGTCCAGAACCACACCAATCCCCTCCTTTCTGAGGGCTAGAGTCTGCTCCTGAAATTAGGAGAAAACAGA